CGGTTGCTTAGAAACTATCTTTGAAAACGTTTATGGGATGCAAGCTGCCTACTGCTCCCCCTTCCCTTTCTGTTGGCAACTCTAAAAGACCACAGAAATATTTTATGAGTTGACACTCACTTCTGGGTTTTTCCATCAGAACTGATTTGGACCACAGCACTTGCCATAGTGTGGCTTACAGGCGCTCTTTTCTTGGTGGGGCGCGGGGGGGAGTGGAACTTGATGGGAGTCCCATTTTCTTGCCAGGCTCCAGAGTAGAGAGACGAGTTTCTCCCGTGGCTTAAGCATCCTCTCCCGGGGATGCTCAGCGCCCCAAAGAACACAATCAGGATGGCCGCTGCATTCAGCACACACAAACATTATTGGCCCCAGAGATTGTCTTTTCTTCTCCAGGAGCTTTTGGCTGACTAGAGGAATCAAAAAACGGGCTTCTTTCACACTATTGTTGGTTTGCCTGCTTTAAAAATAATGAGCTTGGTGATGTGGCCTTTTATTCAGTGGCTGTCGGCCACGACAGCCGAGCCTCAGCTGTGCAGAGCAAACCACAAGGAGCAGATTAGGGAAAGCAGAGGTCTCCAGCCTTGGCCAATTTAAGCCTGCCAGACTTCAACTCTGGGAGTTGAAGTCCTCCAGGCTTAAAGTGGCCAAGGTTGGAGACCCCTGATCTAAAGTATGGTGACTGGAGCCTTTGCAGGCTCTCTCCCCCCCCCCCCCCCATCAAGATCTCTTAATTTACTGTTCTCAGAATATGGGCTGTGGACCCTGGAGTGGTGGGGGGGGGGTTGATGTCATCATGGGGTTCCTGAAGGCTTGAAGAAATGTTGTGATTTAGATCTTAAGTCTTGGAGGTCTGTGGCCAGGGTCCCTGCCAGAAAAGGTATTTAAATGGGTTCCATGGTGAAGAAGAGGTTGTGTATTACTGCCCTGGTCCCAACAACAATTGGCAAATCAAATAAATAAATAAATAAGTATGATGTGGGCAGCCCGGATGCCAGTGGAACAGCACTAGCCAACCTGGGCTTCACCCTTTGGAAACAGCAACAATATTTAAACTTATATACTGCTTCACCGTGCTTTTACAGCCCTCTCTAAGCAGTTTACAGAGCCAGCCTCTTGCCCTCAACAATCTGGGTCCTCATTTTACCCACCTCGGAAGGACAGAAGGCTGAGTCAACCTTGAACAGGTCAGGATCGAACTCCTGGCAGTCAGCAGAGTCAGCTTGCAATACTGCATTCTAACCACTGAACCACCACGGTGAGAGAGAGAGATAGTGAAGCAGAGAGAGACAGAAAGAGAGAGAGAGAAGTCGATAGAGGGGTACTAGATAGATGATAGAGAGATAAATAGTAATAGCAGTTAGACTTATGTACCACTTCACTGTGCTTTTACAGCCCTCTCTAAGCAGTTTACAGAGTCAGCCTTTTGCCCCCCAACAATCTGGGCCCTCATTTTACCCACCTCGGAAGGACGGCTCAGTCAACCTTGAGCCTGGTGAGATTTGAACTGCCAAATTGCAGTCAGCCCATAGTCAGCAGAAATAGCCTGCAGTACTGCATTCTAACCATTGCGCCACCCAGCAGTAGCCCTTAGACTTGTATACCACTTCACCGTGCTTTTACAGCCCTCTCTAAGCTGTTTACACAACTAGCGTATTGCCCCCAACAATCTGGGTCCTCGTTTTACCCACCTTGGAAGGACGGAAGGCTGAGTCAACCTGGAGCCGCTCAGGATCGAACTGCTGGCAGTGGGCAGAATTAGCTGCACTACTGCATTCTAACCACTGGGCCACCACGGCTCTTATGTTCATTCTCTTAAACTTTCTGAGGTCAAAAATTGTGGCAAAAACCAGGACCTTCTCTGGCAAGTTACTCCCTCTTGTGTGGGGCTTGGTTTGGGGTCCAAAGGATGCTGCTGAAACTTCCCCTCTTCGTTGTGCAACCTTGTCTCCTTCCCTCACTTCTTTCTTTCTCTTTTTCTCTCCCTCCCTTTGCTGGATCCTGGTGCTCTCTTTGACCTCAAAGGTTCCCGGGGGTCAGATGCCAGCCCGTCCCACTTGTCCCCTGGAAGCTCTGCGAGCACGCCGGCCCCCGCAGAAGAAATCTGGGTGCTCCGGAAGCCCTTTGCAGGTAGGATGAGAAAGGGGGGGGGGCATGGGGGGTAGGGGGGGGTGCATTCCCCTGCGGGGAGGCAGTGTGGGGAGTTTGGGCAGTGGCTGAGTTGAGTTTGGGGAGAGGCGTGGTGCAAGGTGGGATGTGTCATGGAGAATTGTACCAGCCATTCCCCAAGGAGGCGAAACTGGAGATGGGAGGGGTCTTTCCCCTCTTTTTTTTGGGGGGGGGGGGCAAGCACAACCCCTCCTTCAATATCCCTCTCTCCAACCTGGAGCAAGTCAAGACCCCCAAAACCAAAGTCAGGGGAACCTGCAGCTCGGAAAAGTTTCTGCCTCTGAATGAAGTTTGTGAATGGGATAAAATGCTGCCAAGGCGCCTCCTGATCCCCTGCTCGTGTAGAGGAAGGCACCTGGGTTTCCTCCCATAACGTCCACTTAACAGATAACAGATAATCAGAGTTGGAAGGGAGCTTGCAGGTCATCTAGTCCAACCCCCCCGCCCAAGCAGGAGACCCTACACACCATTTCTGACAAATGGCAGTCCAATCTTTTCTTGAAAGCTTCCAGTGATGAAGCTCCCACAACTTTTTAAGGCAACTTCTGATCCATCGCTTGATTGTTCTGTCAGAAAATTCCTCCTTATTTCCAGGTAGAATCTCTCCTTGTTCAGTTTCCATCCATTATTCCTTGTCTGGCCTTTGGGTGCTTTAAAAAATAGCTTGACCCCCTCCTCCTCTCTGGGGCAGCCCCTCAAATATTGGAAGATGGCTCTCACGTCTCCCCTGGTCCTTCTCTTCCCTAGACTAGCCAGGCCCAGTTCCTGCAAGCATCTGGTCTATGTTTTAGCCTCCAGTCCCCTAATTATCCTGGTTGCTCTTCCCTGCATTTTTTCTAGAGTCTCAACATCTTTTTTATAGTGCGGTGACCAAAACTGGATGCAGTACTCTCGGTGTGGTCTTACTAAGGCTTTGTAGAGTGGTATTAGGACCTCCCTTGATCTTGATTGTATCCCTCTGTTAATGCAACTTAGGATTGTTCACTTCAAGAAAGGAGCTTCACAGAAACGTTTCAAGATATCCTACAGTCAATCAGGATAGAGTTGCCTTAGCGGTTGATGGGGGTGATTTTTTTCCCCTTGATGTATTTTAAGGCTTCAAGACCCTCGGAGAGTGTTTGGTTTAACGTGGTTTTCTGAAGAGGGATTTGTGTGTGTGTGTGTTTTGTCCATTTGCCTGTTTTGGGTGGACAGCAATTTTACACGCACCCCTGCAATCTGGCGTTGCCCTGGATTTCAGCAGCACAATAGGGGTGGCCAGGAAACGGGCATGCGGGACCCCGCCCGGTCCTGGGTTGTGGCTACCAGTCCTGAGCAGAACGTCCGTCGTAGGATGGAGCTGCCCTTGCTTTTGTCCTGCCAACTGTCTTGCCCTCCCCTCCCTCTCTAGGAGGCGATCGCAGCAGCGTGGGCAGCTCTGGAAGCATCACCAGTGGACGGAGCTCGGGCAGCGGCCAGAGCACTGGAAGTGGAGGGCATGGGGCCCTTCACCCTGGTTCAGAAGGCGTGAAGGTAAGCCCGAGTCCCATTCCCCAGAGGGCTGGATGTGCCACGGAGCTCAATCTGGAGCTCTCCAGCCCACCAGTTGGCCCAAGTCTCAGCCCTTGTCTAGTTGTATATCTTTTTAAGACTGTAAGCTGCCCCGGGGGTAAGATGGGCAGCCGATAAATTTTACAAAACAAAAACAAACCCGTTGCTGTCCATCCTTGACATTCCTTGGTCTTCTACTGCCCCCTTGTGGTTGCAGGTTGGATTGCTTGCCCCTTCTGATGCCATGCAAGGCTTGGCCAGTGACCCCAGGGGCTCCTTCCTTCCCTGGGGAAACTGGGCCAGGAGGAGGAGGGGCAGGCCGGTAGTTCCCAAATCGCCTGCCTGCACCAGAATTCTCTTTTCGAGCTGGCTCGGCTGCAGCCACGAATGCCAAGCAGGCAGCGCCATTGTGCCACCCGTTCGCTCCCCGTGCTGCAGCTTTTGCCACTTTGCCAAACTGAGTCACAGCTCTGGGAGAAAAACACCTGATTCTCCCTGGGCTCCAGGCGTCTCATGTCCCTGTTTTTCTGCTCTGCTGTCCCCCCCTCCCCCCCCCGCCTTGCCTGCCTCTCTTTTCTGATTTAACGCTTTCTTGCTGTTCCTCCCCCAATTTCTCAGCTGCTGGCAACTGTCCTTTCCCAGAAGGCGTCTGTGCAAGAATCTGCTGTGAGCGACAGGCCTGCCAAGGCGGTGGAGACACCCGCAGGTGCGTGGATGCTCCGGAGGACAGCTGGTCCCCCTGTCCCCACAGGAGCGTTTCTTATTTCCAGGACCAGCGGCTTCTCCTGGAGAACATGACCCTCTCCTTCTCCTGCTGCTGCCAGCCCTTCGCTTGCTTCGGTTAGTGGGGAGCACCGGGGGGGGGGGGGGCGGGAGGGCAGGATGGCCAAGGGAAAGCAAGACACCCCTCCCCTCCGCCTCTGTGGAACATGCAAGCTGGGAGAGCGCTGTTGGTCGCAGGACAGTCTGTTTCCTACCCCTCACCCCCCACCCCTCGGTGTTGCTACCCCCTTTGGTTGGGTTCGGAGCGCCATTCTCACCCCCACCCCCCTCCAGGCATCGCTGCTCTGCTCCTGGCTCTTCCCCTCGATGGAGCATTGCAAGAGCTACTCGGTGGCAGGAGGGGGGGGTTCAGCAAAGGCTGCTTTCTGCAGCACCCTCCGTCTTTGAGATCCTGGATGGGTGGTGGGTCAAGACCCTCGCTTTGGGGGAAAGGGGCTTCCTTGATTTGGAGTGGGGGGGCGGGGGGAGAAGGCAGCCACCGGGGCTACTCCGATCTGTGCCGTTCAGGGTTGTTCTCCTGGGGGGGGGGCGGGGTGGGGGCGCGGGGGGGGGGGGGGGGGGGGGGGGGGGGGTCTGTGCCTTCTGTGAAGCAGCTTTTTAATTTTGGAACTGACCTTTTCTGGAGTCACCAAGCTGGACATTTCTGATGGTCTCCTTCCCTCCCTCCTGAGGTTCAAGGGGTGGTTTGCCAGCCTGATGCCGGAGGTCTTGATAGCCCTTGGATGAAGCCGGAGACCTCGCATGTTAGCTGGACTGGAAGTGGGTTGGAATCCTTGTTGAGGGTTTGACGGCAGAACATGGCTTGGGGGACATCAAAGTCACCTTGGCTGCCATCTTGATCTTCTACCACCTGCTTGGTGGGAAGAAGGTGCTGCCTGAGTGAGGCTGGGCCTCCCATCTGCCCTTTGCCCTTCTCTGGCTGGAAAGGAAACGGAGCCCCTGCGCAGCTCCAGGTGCGAGAGGCTGACAGCCTCCCGCACTCACACAAGCCATCTGTGCTGTGGCACCGGCACGCTAGTCCATTTCTCCCAATGTCCTGCGGACGGCCATCTTGTCCTGCCAGGGAAAGTGCCCACAGTGTACCCAGGGCCTTCTTTGCACCCGAAGCTCCTAATTTTCTGCTGTGCTGAGAATTCCTGCCTGCTCTGTGACAGGTTCTTCCCGGACGCCAGGATTGGGCAGCGCGCCGTACTCCAGCCAGCCATATGGGGACCAGCAGGTCAAGAAGGTGGAGCCGCAGTCCGAGGGGAAGGCAAGTTTGGGCTCCCCCGAGCAGCTCCCGACGGACCTGGGCAAGAGTGCCCTGAGGGTCCCTGCAGCCTTCCTTGGGGTGGGGTGGGGGCTAGCTGTAACCTTTTCTTTTGGGTTGGACTTACAGGAGTGGGTGGGAGTATTTTTAGGGACAGGTGAGGGTTGCAGGTATTTCAAACCCATTTTTGTCCCTTGTTCACTTCCTGCCCGACGCCTCATTCATTTCGGAATTCCGAATAAAACCTGGAGAAACGAGCTGGCGAAAAGGTGGCTTGGGTAGAGTTCAGAGACAGGCCGTGGCTCAGATCAAGCCTTGGTGCTGTTGTGGAATTGAGCTGGCAGCCCTTTTGTGCACTAACTGACTTTTCCCAATCTGTTGTCAAGGAGAGGAAAGAGGGGAAGGGAGAGCTTGCTTAAGGGTGCCATATGTGGGCTGAAAAAATTCGGACGGGCACCCCAAAACAAGGCAGAGTTGGCCGTTTTCGGTGCCGCTTTCTGGCTGGCAACGTCCAGGAGGGCAGCTCTCCCTTTAGCTCTATCTTCCCCTCCCCCCAAAGGGAACTAGGCTTGGATGGAGGGTGGGAGTTAATCTGGGGAAAACTGCTTGGCAGCTTTGGTTCTCTTGGCTTCGCTTCCTTTTCACGAGACAGTCAAGATGCTGCAGAAAAAGGACAGAGCTGGCCAGAGCTGCACGATACAAAATTATAAGATCCTTTTTTTTTTTGTACTGGTTGCCTCTTCAGGTTTATTAAACCCCTTCCTGAAACTGAATTGAGATAAATGTGGAAAGGAAGCAAGGGGAGGAAACTGCAGCTGGGGTTAGAAACAGGTTGCTTTCTTGCCTGGAGACAGATTCTGCCGGTGGGAAGAGATCCCAAAAATAGTGACAACAAGCCTCCTTAAGGATAGGAAAAATAAAACAAAATAAGACCTGCTCTGATCAAAACCTCCCTCCGCCCAGCATGCAGGCAGGCGATTCTGGGTTGGCTAAAGAGACGTAATATCTACTGATAATTGACCTGCGTCTCTCTTCCCACCCAGAGCTCCGAGGCCGTCTACCAGTGGCTGTACAAGTTTCAGCTGCAGCTCTACGCCTCCAACTTCATCAATGCTGGCTATGACATTCCCACCATCAGCCGGATGACCCCCGAGGTGAGGAGGGCTCTTGCTGGGGGAAACGGAGAGCTAAGAGTTGCCCTTCAGGGAAGAGGCTGGTGGAGCGGAGGGAGCACCCTGATGGTTTCTAAAAGGGCTGTTCTGTTTTTAAACATTAGAAGGGAGGATTTTTTTAAAAAGCGAAGCTAACGCCACTCTCGCACCAATGTGTTGACCGTATCCATCAACCACTTGGGTGGGAGCATCTCCACTCACGAGGATTAATAAGGACTGAAATTGCAGCCGATCCACCCAGTCCTTGGGAGCACTTTGTTCTTTGGAGACTTTTGAAAAACTCATTTGTTTGGCAGAAAAAGGGAGGGCGGCCTCCCTAATGCACAGGTATGCACAAAAGACGGTTTTTAAAAAGTGGTGGCTGCATGGGCAGAGTCAAAATTCTGCCTGTTTTGAATGTTTGATGCCCCCATCTTGGTTTTTGTGGACTCACCTAGCAGTGATAACCTGTCACTGGAACTGTAGGAAGGAAGGGGACAGCCCCCCCATTTTAGAGCACAGGTATTATTATGATTGTTGGGGTGCAATAGATCAGGGGTTAAGAAGGTGAGCATGACAGCCGGGTTCGAGACCCGAGAGCCATGCAATGGGGTACCCAGCTCCTGCCTACGTAGCAGTTTGAAAGCATGAAAATGCGAGTAGATAAATAGATACCTCTTTCGTGGGAAGGCAGCAGAGTTCCATGTTTCACTGTGTGCTCTGCAGTGCGCTATGTTACCATGCTGGCCACATGACTGCAGAAGTGTATTCAGACAATGCTCCCTTTGGCTAAAAAATGGAGATAAGCACCATCCCTAAAGTTGGATACAACTGGACAGGAGAAACCTCTACCTTTACTTATTACCTATGTTTCCCCCAAAATAAGACCCGGTCTTATTTTCTTTGGGGCCCCAAAGTAACCACCAGGTCTTATGTTCAGGGGATGTCTTACACACTTACCTTAGAATCACCACAGTAATAATCTTTGAAAAGCATAAGTGTTCCCACAAAGGCATGATATTTAATTGAAATGGATAAAATGTTTAAGATATAAATGATTGTTAATATTAATGATTAGAATATGGTATACTAGCGAAATTTCTTTTGAAATGAGAATTGAAGTAGAAGGAGGTATTTTTTTAATGAAATAATGAGCTATAATATATGATGAGGGATATAATATATAACTATGGAAAATAGGGCTCCCATAAAAGTATGTGATTTAATTGAAAAGTAATGATTTAAATGTTTAAGATATGAATGAATATTAATACTAATGAATAGATTTGTATTATTTTTGATAATATAGTACAATTTTAGAATGTACCAGACAGAATCCCAATATATGTCATGTGTTTTATATTAAGTATTATAAATGTAGGGGAAAGAGATAAAGGCATCATACTCCATATAGTGTACAGGAGAAGTTTTTTCTTTTTTTTAAAGAAGGAAAATAAAGGGCTGGCTGGAATAGAACAGACAAAGAATAATAAATATTATGATATGAATTGAGAGGAGATAAATAAAATAAAATAAAATTGAGAAAATTTAAAGGAGATGAGAAGACATATAGAAAACTGAAAATGTTAATAAGATATGAAATGGTATGTAAAATGAATATGAATTTGAATTTGTGTCTGTACCAAGAGTTTTAACCCGGGACTAAGCAACTTTCAGAAAAGAGATTTTTTATACTTTTATGTTTTGTGTTTATGTGTATTTATGTATTGTTTGTCTTGAAAAATAAAACTTGTTTTAAAAAAAAAACACAAAAGAATCACCACAGCCAGATCTCCGATGCCCTGACGCCTGTTGCGCTGCTGCCTGACTTCTTCTGCAGCCAGACACTATGTGGCGCATCGCACCAGTGCCACTGCTGGGGCAGGAGACCACACGGCAGCACCAGTGCTATGTGCCAAGTGGTCTTCCGCTGTGAGCAGCGGCACTGGCGCAATGCACCATGCGACGTCTGGCTGCCAGTGACTGCAGAAGTTGGACAGCAGCGCGACAGGTGTCGGGATGTGGGAGGCCTGGCTGCGGTGGTCCTAAGGTAAGCAGATGCCGGGGTGCGTTAGGGCAGCTCCACCACCTCCTCTACCCTAGCTTGATATTTATGCATGCGCCTCATCCCACTTTGTACAACCAGGGCTTATTTTTTGGGGTAGGGCTTATATTAGGCGCACCTGTAAAATAAAGCTAGGGCTTATTTTCAGGATAGGTTGTATTTTCGGGCAAACACGGTATGAATGTAAGAGGGTTAATTTCCTTTCTTAGGCACCTTCTCTTCCTCTCCAAAGTGACCTTAAGAAATCTGTTTTTAAAAAACTTAAATAGAACATGAGTCATTCCTGGAGGGGGAAAAAAAAATCTTCTTTGAGCCCTGCTTCGTTCCTGGCGATTTGCAAAATCCACCCAAGCAGATTTTTTGGCAAGAAGTGTTTTGCCCTCTGCCAACACTTTTTGCGATGTGTTTTAGCTTCCCAGCCTAGTTGGTAGTTCTAGAACTGACTAGTTGTCATCCATCTGGATTTAACTCTTAACAACTTTCGCAAGATTAACCATGGTCAGCTAGAAGATGTCACCTCAAGGGGTGCTCCTGCAAATCATCTTGATACAATATGCCTGGACAGGTGAGTGGAAGAGTGGGTAGGGGGCCCAGACCCTGAAAAGAAGTGACAGAGGACCCTGCAGAGTGACACTTCTCTGAGTTTGTTGGGTATCAGAATCTAAGGAGGACCAGGCTGGCTTAGAATTGGGATGGAAGACCACATGGTGTTCCACGCTAGAAGCTAAACCACTGAAAATATATTTTTAAGAATAACAGACTGAAAGAGTCATGAAGATAAAGCTTGAGAGATGAAAATGTGAAAGATGTTGCTAGGCTGAAAGCAAGGAAGACTAGCAAAAGCTCCTTTTAAAGGCAAAAATGGAAAGGGAGAAACCTGACCTAATGCAGGGATGTTCAGACTTGACAGCTTTAAGACTTGTGGATTTCAACTCCCAAAATTCCTCCTCCAGTCATGTTAGCTCAGGAAATCTAGGAGTTGAAGCCCACAAAGCTTAAACTTGCCAAGTTTGAAGACCCTTGGCCTAATGTATTCAGTCACTTGTTGATCAAGAAAAGAGACACACGAGACTGGAAAAAGTAAATGGGCATTTTATTTTATTTACTTATCCCGTCTCTACACTGCCCACCTCACCAAGGGACTCTGGGCGTTAATCCTAAGTAGGGAGGCAGTGACAAATTTGGACAAAAGTGTGAAAAATAAGGACCTTTTTCCTCTGGTGACTAAGACCAGATGTTGGAAACGTGGCCTTTCTAGGCTAATCAAGGCTGTGAAAGTGGTTGCTAGGCTGGGAAGTGAACAAGCATCCTGAAAAGATCATGGAACAATGTGACATCCCAGGAGCCGAGCTTGACTTTGTCTGACTGCATGCATATGGTGCAAGTTTATCTTCTCTGTGGTTGGGCCTTCATAGCCATTCACAGACCAAACCTAGTCCAAAAATGCTAGAGCAGGGGTCCCCAACCCCCAGGCTGTGGTCCACTTCAGAACCAGGCCACACAAGCAGAGAGCGAGCGTGCACAGGCCTGTAATTCCACTTGCGCAAGCAATAGGTGCACTCATGTCTGAAGCTCTATTTGCATGAGCGGCAGACACTTGCACGCTTGTACATACGCCCATCACTCACACAAAACTATTCCCTCTTTGCCCCCGCCAGTCCGGAAAGGTTGGGGATTGCTGCACTACACAATTCCTGAAAGCCTGGCACTCAGACAAATCAGCCATCAACAGACACATAGAGATAAACAACACCTACATACCATTCAAAAAGCCAAAAATGAACACAAAAACCAAAACATCTCCTTGCTAACAATCAACAGCCAGACGAGCATCAGGATTATCTCTAGACTGACAATAAAAAAAGCAACATCCCAATCAAGGAATTACCAACTCAATCAGTAAACAACACTCTAACCAAGGAACCACCAACAGCACTCCCACCAACAATGACAGGGCAAGCCACTAGGATTAAAAAAAAAAAAAAGATGAGAAGTAAACCTTCCTGTCTTGCAGCACTGATGATGTTACCTAGTTGGGTCATGAAAGGTCTGCAAGAAAACAACCAAAGTCAGGGAGCACCAATGACCTCACAATTCAATCCTGAGCTACAAATATTCTATCGTTTCCTAGCTCCAAATGCTTTTGAGGTTTTTAATGTGTGCTTGCTGCTCTCTGGGGCTCGAATGATGGGGAAATTCTTTTTGATTTAGGACTTGACAGCCATTGGGGTCACCAAGCCGGGACACAGAAAGAAGATCGCCTCTGAGATCAACATCCTGAACATTCCTGAGTGGCTTCCAGAATACAAGCCAGTGAGCGGCCTCATATCTTGCTGCACTTGGGGTTGGGAAGGTGTAAGCTCAAATTGTAAATCACCGAACCAGTAGTTAACACCGGTCGGATCCCACCCCTGGTCGTAAGTCGAGGACTACCTGCATGAGGAGAAACCAAAACTTTCTTCTCCCCTTCCTGGCAGCAAAAGAGCAAAACGCTGGGATTGCTTCTGCCACCGTTGGCGGAAAGCGAGAAACCGGGCTCAAAAGAGTCCAGCAGAAGCTCTTAATTAAACAGGCATAATTTGAAAACTCTCCAAGGAGCTCTGCTAATCGACAATGGGTAGAGTAGCATTTCAAGGCTGTTTTAATTATGGGGAAGAGGTCAGAAATTCCTCAGGGACTTTTCAAATTACAACTGCGGTGTTTAATGCGGAAAAAAAATTATGGAGGAACTATGCAGACAACACGGAAGGCACCGATTGGACACCGATGGTTAGGATGGTGGGTGGGCCCCACTGGGGGATTCTGGGACTGCAGCCTCTTGCTCCGTGAAATGGCTTGTTAACGCTCTTTCTCAACCTTGGTGGCTTGAAGTGGTGTGGACTTCAACTCCCAGAATTCCCCAGCCAGAATTCCGGGAGTTGAAGTCCACACCTCTTCAAGCCGCCAAGGTGGAGAAACCCTGGCTTATTATAATCCTCTGTCCCTCCCAGGCAAACCTGGCCCTCTGGCTCTCCATGATTGGTCTGGCACAGTATTACAAAGTCCTGGTGGAAAATGGCTACGAGAACATCGATTTTATCACCGATATCACTTGGGAGGATCTGCAGGAGATCGGCATCATCAAACTGGGTGAGGGGAGCATGGAGGCACCTCCATTCTCAACCAGAAACTTAAATCAGGGTCTTTGTGCCCCTCTGTGCATGTATTCTGACCTTCCTCAACCGCACAAAGCCGAGTCCTTGTCCCAATAAACCCCATTTTATTTAATTTACAGTGAATTCCTCTCCAGCAAAGTCTTTCGAGGTAGTTCCCAATGACAGACCTTTATCAGGCTTGAAGAATGGTCGGGCCGATATCTTTCAGACACCACAATACTTGGCAAGAATGCAGGAGGGAACTAATTGTCTCCTGCAAAGCCTCACTCCCCTTTTGCCCCTCTTTTATTCCCTATGGAAGGGGCCATTCACTGTCCACCTGTGGCTTTACTCCCGAGTCGACCCTTGTTCCTTAGCTGTTCCCTTCGTCTGACAGTTCTGTGCATGCGCACACTGGGAACAGGCTCCAGCTATTCTTCTGCCCCACTGATCTCCGACTCCGAAGGCAGCTGGTAACTATCAGACGGCCCTGGCCCCATCTCTGCCTCCGACGCAGAGCCCTCGTCAGAACCTTCCCCAGACTCCAGGACTGGCCCAGGTTCCTCCCCAACCTCCTCACTGTCTGAATCTGCTGCCAGCTCTGCTGGCCATTGATGGGCCACAACAGCAGGTTTTGGTTCCGAGTTAAGACAGAGGGCAGAGTAAGGTGTTTAAGTCTGCCTCAGTTTCTCCAATCTCATGCCTTCAAGATGTCTTGAAGTTACAACTTCCATTATTCTGGAGGATGCCAGGCTGGGAAAGTCCAGCCTTTACTGTGACAATGGAGCTGGTGTTGGGATAGGAGAAGGTGCATATAGAGAAGAACAGATAACCTGGGAAGAGGCACTTACAAGAAGCCATTCTACGGCAGGGATAGAACACAATGTAATGTATTGGTTCAAAAGAGGCCATGTTTCTGCCAGTTAAGTATTTCCCAAATGCTGAACACCAACGACTTAACTAGACAAGAGAAAAAAATAATGTTTTTTGCTGAGGTTCCTTCAAGTGGCACAGCGGAGACCATCTGCCATTTTAATGACTGAACTGTTTTTTGAAAAAATGGGAGGGGAGGAAGACTGACTCATGAAGATTTCTGCATCTTTAAAAGTAGAGCACTGATCTTTAGGAATGACAAATTCCTTGGGGTTCTTCCAGACATTGGAAGGGGTACAAATTCTGAGCTCTGAAGAGGAGGAGGAAGCAAGGAAGGTGTGTGTGTGTGTGTGTGTGTGTGTATTCCATTCCTCATATCTAATCTAGATGCCAGAGGAGGGGGACAATTATAGACACTGAAACCACTGAACCTGGGCAAGGTTGGGCATCAGCTGGCCATCCAACCAAACAGCCCACCTAGTGGCTATTGAACAGCAAGCAGGAAAAATGAGGTTCAAGAAAAGTGGGGGGCCCTACCAGGACAAAAGGTGTCAGATCTGTGTATCTGTCATTTCTTCAATGGAAGAAGAAAAGTGGGGTGGGCGGGTAGACCTGACATAAGGTCAATTCCAGCTCAGGGATGCTATACTAAGCTAAAGTGTTGACTTTGGGGGGAACCAAGGGGACACCTGGCAGGTGAAATGGTTGAACTAAGATCTGTGATAGTTCTTTTTTTCCCCCCCTTTCTCTTCAATCCTGCCTGATTCTTAGAGACTGCCTCAACAAGTCCCTGCATTTTTTTGGGCAATGTTTTATTTACAGAAGTGGTTTGCTGTTGCCTCCTTCCTAGGGCTGTGATAAAGTGACCGGCCCAAGATCATCCTGCTGGTTTCGTGCCTGAGGCAGGACTAGACAAATGTCTTAGCCACTACATCAAACTGGCTCTCGCTCAGTAGACCGAGTGAGACACATTTGTACTGGTTTGGAGGTTTCTTTATGAAGACTGTGCTAGAATTTTAACCAGTTTTGATCTCTCGTATCTGCTTAGGCCACCAGAAGAAGCTGATGCTAGCTGTGAAAAAGCTGGCAGAGATCCAGAAAGCTGAATACATCAAGTATGAATCTGGGACGCTGAAGAAAAAGGGTGCACCACAGTCCCAGGACACGGTGGCCATAGAGTCTCCTCCGCAGGAAACGGCCGAATGCCAGTCCCCCAAGATGTCCACTTTCCAGGATAGCGAGCTGAGCAATGAACTGCAGGTGGCCATGACGGGCACCAGTGAAGAGGGGCCCGAGAAACAGGCCAACCATGTGACGCACTTCCGGGACGGGGCTGTTTACCGGCACCCCTCCCGCCTCATCCATGAGAACAGCCTGAGTGGGAGAGCTAAGCTGATTAGTAGCTCCCAGGAACTGCTGGGAGATGGACCCAAATCTCCTGGCCCTTCAGCATCCAAAAGCCAGGAGCACCTAGCAGAAGAGGGGAAGGAGCCTCCGGCCACCCTGCCCAAGGAAGTGCGTAGCCTCCGACATGGCCACAGCATCAAGAGGGCAAGCGTCCCACCAGTGCCTGGAAAACCCCGGCAATCCTTCCCTCCAGCTGCAGGCCACTACACCCCTCCGCAAACTCCCACCAAGCCCCGCCCATCCTCTCCCCAGGCTTTCGGGGTGCCCCACGCCACGGCCAAAGTAAAACCCACGCCACAGTTGCTGCCGCAAACCGACCGACCCATGTCTCCTCGTTCACTGCCTCAGTCTCCGACACACCGGGGTTTTGCCTATGTCCTGCCGCAACCTGTAGAGGGAGAGGCTCAGGCTGCAGGCCCCTTGGCTCAAGCTGTGCCGGTCCTGCCGATCTCCATCCCGGTGCTGTGCCTGCCACCCCAGGATGCAGAGAGTGAGGAGGCAGGTCGGCCCAAGAAGAGAGCCCACAGTCTGAATCGCTATGCAATGTCTGACAGCGAGCAGGAGCGGGACGAGCTGATGCTGCCAGATGCCGGGCCCTACGCCACTGTTCAGCGGAGGGTCGGGCGCAGCCATTCTGTCCGGGCACAGTCGGGCGCTGACAAGAATGTGAACCGCAGCCAGTCCTTTGCTGTGCGGCCCAAGAAGAAGGGTCCTCCACCTCCACCGCCCAAGCGTTCCAGCTCTGCCATCTCCAGCAACAACATGACAGACGATTTTAGCAAAGAGGGAGAGGAGGGAGAAGAGCTGGGTGACGGAGGCACCATAGAGACAGGCAGTGCTGGGAGTGTAAAGAGCATTGCTGCCATGTTAGAAATGTCATCGATCGGTGGAGGGGGGCGGGCTCTTGCCCTGCAAAAGGGGGGTGATGGGTACTACTTGCAGCCTGGTGTGGTTATAAGTTCAGCCAGTCCGGAACATGCCCGTGTTGCAACTGTTCTGGCCACCGTCAAGCACAAAGAGGCCATCGGACTAGATGGAGAAGTGGTGAACCGCCGACGCACCATCAGTGGCCCTGTGACTGGGCTTGTGGCAGCTGCTCGCCGTGAACGCTCAGACAGCATCAAGTCTGGCACGGTCAAAGACGGTGGCCCCGTGGAACGGCTGCGGGCAGAGCACAGTGGGAGTGCCCCGCAGAACGGTGAAAATATCCCCTTTGCTGAGGAGGGCAGCCTGACTATCAAGCAGCGTCCCCGACAGATGAGCCTCACCAAGGCCGAAGGCGGGGAAGGCTTGGGCCATCGGCACAGCGACCTTTCCAGAGTGGAGGCCAGCGCCACTCTCAAGCGGAGGATCCGGGCAAAGCAGTGTCAACAGGACAATGTGAAGTTCATCCTCACGGAATCAGACACTGTGAAGAGACGGCCAAAGTCGAAAGACAAGGAGCAGGAGCTGGCCCAGCTCTCAGTGTATCACAACGGCATGGGCACAGTCAAGCGCCGGCCGACCTCTGAGATGAGCAGCCTGGAGGCTGTGGCCCCCACAGAGCAGCAAGAGAGAGTGGGAGGGGCCTCAGTTCAAATCCCCCGTGAAGAAACCAAGAAGCCCATCAAGCCTCCTGTCTCTCCCAAGCCCATCTTGCCACCCAAAACCACGGGGCCTTCCACGCCAACCACCAAAAGGGCTCCGATTCCTGGCCCTGGCAGCCCAGGTAAAGCCTCTTCCTGGGGAACCCACACAGCATGGTTTTTTGTGGGGGGCTTCACAGTTGCTTCTCTGTGTTCCGAGGCTGCCAAGGGGCTTCTTTATCCATGTACATATCTAGGCACCAATAAGCTGCCCACAAAGAAATGTTGGGCAACGCATGGGAGAGTGTGTATGTATGGGTGGAGTTCTCTGGGAATCAGACTGGAGAGTGGAGTTGTGTGCCTGAAACTGCAAGCTTGTGTGCTAATATTTCCTAGTTGCTGAATGGAAGGGGGCATCCTTTTTATCATCTTTAATATCCATTGAATCCAGTTCTAGTAACAGCTGAACTGTCTTCCTAATGATAGAAGATGTTAGATGCAGCCTTGCCAAGTAGAAACTCCATGTTACGGCCACTTCCTGTAACAGGGGCATGGCATGTCCTGTTTGTCTCTTGCAGAGGTGAAACGTGTCCATGGGACTGCACCACCCACATCTCCAAAGCCTACACCACCCCCAACTGCTCCAAAGCCGAAGGTCCACCCCGCCCTCCAGTCAGTGAGTGCCAGCTGCACACCAGCACCTTCACCGGCTAAGCAGCTGACCCCCACCATCAAGCCTTCAAGCACACCTCCTTCCCTCTGCTCCAGCCCAGCTAAGCCTTTGTCCCCCGGAGGGCAGCCTCCTCAGACAGTGCCAGTCAAGCCACCTCGCTCCTCCATGGCTGGGCCCTCAGTGGAGAGCACCGAGAGCGTGCATCAGAAGCTGGAGGAGACCAGCGCTTCTCTGGCTGCTGCTCTGCAAGCTGTGGAGGAGAAGATCAAGCAAGAGGATGGACAAGCAGCAGAGTAAGGCACTCCTGAGGGTGGGAAGGGGTGGGGAAGGACCCCAGAGATGATTGAGGAGCCAGAAGGCCTGCAAAACGTCCAGCGGACCAGAGAGGCTGGGTGAAACAGCCACGGTTGGTTTTTTACCACAAGGAAGTGCAGCCATTTGCTGTCTTCTATGGCTTGTGCCCACTCGGGAACAAAAGCTTTTAGTAAAAAGGTGAAGGAGAGCAGAACAGGAGAAAGGCAGGGCGAGAGTACTGCTGTTATACATGCTCAGATTTAACTAACCAAAGGATGGAGGTATTAGGAAGCTGTATTAAAGGCAAGGGTTTTGCAGACGGAGTATCAAACTCGATTTCATTGAGAGTTGCATCAAGGTTGTGTTTGACCTCGGGGGGGGGGGGGGGGGGGGGGTGGGTGTGGCCAAGGCATGGACAGCATGATGTCACTTGTGTTGGCGGTGCCTGTGTTCCGAGTGCTCTGCCAGCGAAAACGGGCTCCTCGGCTGTGTTTTTGGCCGCAATGGCCTCCTGCAGCCCCGTGCCAGTGAAAACGGGGCTTGTGGGGTGGGCTGTGTTTCTATTTTCACTGGCAGAGGGCTGCAAGAGGCCACCGTGACCAAAAATGAAGCCTGGAACAGCTGTGCACGTCCCTCCCAAGCTCTGTTTTTGCTGGCAGAGGCACCACTGGCCAATCCTTCGCTGTTTCCAGTGAGGACCTACGGGCCACATCTAAGCACCCCACAGGCCAAATTTGGCCCACAGGCCTTGAGTTTGACACCCCTGTTGTAGAGGAATTGGGATCGGCTTAACCTCTCTGATGTCTCTTGCCTTCAGTTCCACTGCAGAATCCAAGAGTACCGTCAGCATCCTGGACGACATCGGCAGCATGTTTGATGATCTTGCTGACCAGCTAGATGCCATGTTGGAATGAGAGCTGGAGAACAGTCCAGGCCAACCTCAGGATCTGCCATGGGCACAAGGGCACAATCACCTCCATGAAGATCTTCCCTCCTCCATTTTTTGAGGTTTGCACAAAGAAGACAAGGTTACCTCAGGATTGTGTTGAAACAAACTGAGATGCTTGAGAAAGGGTTTCCTCGGAACCTGTTTTGCAAAGTGAAGAGAGGAACCACATTTGGGTTTCTTCTCCCATCCCTTCCAAACACCCGTTTGACCTTAGAGATCACAGCATGACTGCAGTTCTCCTCCTGCAGCGGAGTCGGAGGTCAGGGCAGCCTGGGATGGGCAGAGCTTCCATGGCAATGGGAGAAAGTGAGCTTCACACTTTCTTCAGCACAGCTTTCCAGGCGAAGCTACTCCATCCACTCCAAAGTGGCTTTCCCCCTCATATATAATACGTACGAGTTCCTTCCCCTTCTCTTCTCCAGATCAGTCCTGAGTTGTTACTGTCCCAATACACTATCAAAGTATGTGGCACAAAATAAGTATTAAGTCTTCTCTGGTTCTTCATGTTTTCTGTTTGGGGTGAAATCTCGTCTTAGCAATGACTATACTGCCTTCTGTGTTGGGTGTTTCTGGACTGCACACCGCATTTCCTTATATGCCCAGCTCATGCGCCCATCTGCCACCGCTGGAGATGCTGGTAGAGGCAGCCATGGAAGGCCTGAGGGAACCTGTGAGTTGGGGTAGGGGTGGGGTGGGGGAACCTTCAGCAAGCTGCATGCTTCGTTTCTTTGTCCTGAAGGTGTTTGTCTTCTCCTGGTGATGATGAAGCTGTGACTGTAAGAAGTTTCGTTTTGTTAACACGTTCCCCTTTGAGATACAAGCTCTTTTTTTCTGTTGGTTTGCCTTGGAAAGCATCATTCCTGGCAAAAGCTGTGCAAAAAGCTTTGGTATGTTTGCATGATCGATAAAAGTGTTGAAATACGAAAAGAAAAAAAACTTGGGTAGGGGTGGGTGGGGCAAAAGCATCCTGGCCAAAATCTCCTTGTACATAAGCTCACTGATGGCTTCTGCAGCTGCCAAAGAGAGATGGCAAATCTCTCTCTCTCTCTTTATTTTTATTTTTTTTAAACCCCTCTCTCGAGGCAGTTCTGAGCACAGGGACTTGTCCTGCACTTTCTATTGCTCTAAGGCACTTCTGTCCCAAAGAGTTCGTCACTGGTTGAACCGTTTAGCCTTCTTAACCTGCCACAACCGTTGGGAGCAAGGCTGGGAGAAGACATCATTGACCAGGCAGTGGACAGACAAGGAACAATAAACCATCTCCATGTTCTGGAAACCAAGGGCGATGGTGGTTCTGTATTCCAGTGGAGGTTTAATGGAAGAGAGGCCTCCTCTCTTGGTATTACATCCGCAGTTTCGGAAGAGGCAATCAAAGGAGGCTCAGCCAAGACTGAGTGGATTGCAGCCCTTGGCTAGAACATGTCTTGTGCTCCTGACTCATGGCTGACCCTTGAGCCGCAGGTCTTGTCCTGATTGGTCCTGGGTACCTGCGAGGGATCTTCTGGCAATCAGTTAGGAAAGGGCTTCCTTGAGAGGAGGAATCCTGCCGAGTGCAGCACTGTTCTTTCTTTCCAGAAAGGGGCATCTTCCAAGAGGATCACAATTTTTGCATACCCAAGGGTTGCTAGTCTGAAATTCTACAATGTATGCCAAAGTTTATTCTTAAGAGCCTTCTCCATCTTCCAGGTATGTTGGGCAGAATTGCTGTTTTCGTTACTCCCCAGGCAGTGTAAGCACCACCACTTGGTATTGTGGCCAATTCATTTTCTATTTTCATCCACCAGCTTGAGGCTTCTTAGAATGAGTAAACATCCTGGTGATGGGAGGAACAAAATGTCCTGCCAATTCAGAACTGTCTACTGTCCTCAGGTTTCCTTTGGTTTATTCCACTTGCAAATTGGAAGGATCTTGATAGGGAAATAGGGAAGACCCTCGGCTGGAAGAGGAATGCTTGAATGTTGCAGTTGGGGAAGGACATTGTCTGGCTCCTACTTCTGATGGATGAGCTTCTTGGGATCTCCTGGCATCTTCAAGTTGCATAGGAAGGCTTGGATCGCCCCCTGGCCATGTTCTCAGTGAGATGCTCCACATCAGCTTCACTTGGTCTTCCTTCTTGTGGAATTTATAAAACATCCTGAAGGTTTTTTGTTGTTGCATTGCAATGGCAAGAAACAGCATTTTACAAGGAAAGGTAGATCATTTTACTTGAACAATTTACTGGGTTCCCTAACCTTGTGCCCACAGGAGCACTCTGTTTTTTTAAGGCTTTGGGGCAAGTGTCCAAGACACATTGTCCTTTGTCCAAGGCCAGTGGGAGCGTTCTTAAACCTTTGACTGCTATTTCCAAATGACTCCTTTGCCTACAAAGCTCCATCAAAGGAAATTCCCCTAAGTACTCAGAAGGAACTTTGCCAGTGCCTACTTATTTTTGACTCTTAGAATGCGTTTCCTAATCTCTAGCCTAAACTGGCTTTTAAATGTTTTCAGCTGGTTATATTTCTCTCCCTCATGCTGTTTTTGTACTTCAGAATAACCGTGGCCATATTTCATAAGTCATGCTTCTGAGACCAGAATCACCAGAATCATCTTCCTTTCCCACAGATGAAAGTACCGAGGTGCTAGCTAGCTTAAGGCTCTTTTCCCTGAACTTCTATCTTCCGGGAATGGAGAACTTACAGAGCGACCATCTCCAGCTGGGAATCAATGGAGGTTCTTTGGGAGATCAGAGGGAAGAGAAGGCTGGGAAAGTACCTCTTCGCACTGCTGGCATTTGATTTGTAGGGCATCTGTTTTGATCGTGGGATGGAGCCCTCGCCCTTCATCTCTCCTTCCTCTTATCTGGTGTAGCTCTTAGCTCTGCCTTGCTGCTGGGTTCTTGGTTTCCTGTCCATTTCATTCCGTCGTGTTTTGGTTTTTGCTTTATCAAATCACCTGGCAATAAAGGAAAACAAACAAACAGAGCTACCATTTTCAGGGAGATCTTGGGAGCTTTGTCTTGCAGACTCTTCTCAGACAACATGGTGAGGGCCTGGGGTTCTTGAGCAGGCGGCATCTCACGTTCTTATGGCTGTTTTCAGCCAAACTGAAAAATATCAGCGATAGGAACAAAACTTATGTGTGGGGCTACCGCAACATCCTCGTCTCTTAGAATATCAGTTCCATCTTCTTGACTGGCAGCCCAACCTCCAACATGGGACCCGTTCTTCACCGATGTGATCATGACATGCTGGGTTCCTTCCTCTTTGTCTATTCTTCCTGTCTCTCCACTCAGCAAAGGAATCCAGAACAAAGCAGCCAAAAGAAATGGGGGAAATCTCCCTTCGGCTTGCTACACTTCCCACCCATGGATTTCAATCCGTCTTGGCTTGGAGTAAGATCTCAGGAGAACTCTTCGTCATCTTCTGGTAGAGCTACCTTTTTGAGAGACGTCACGGAGCTCTTTTCACCTTAAAAGAGTAGTGTTGAGTTGTGGTGCTGCTTCTTTTATTAGTTCACTGGTGGTAGCGCTCTCCTCTTGAGACAGCCGTGTTAGGAAAAGTTCTTATGTGTGCAGAGACTCACACAGCTTTTCCTTTGGAAGGGGATGAAAGGGATGAAGAAAAAATATATATAAGCTATATTAAAAAAAGTATTTATTGGAAGAAAAAACTATTTAAGTGGAGCTTCCCCCAGAGATAAATAACAAAAGAAGGAAAGGAGTTTAATATATATATAAAAAAAAGATTTTAAAATATTATCAATTGTATATTGAACAGTTTTAAAATATAAGATTGAAAGAACTGGAGTTTAGCTTGACTATTAGACTTATAATAAGCTGTTTGTCTTGTGAGGTCATTTTAAAAAAAGTAGCACAATGTTTAAAAAGGTAGTTTATCTTTTTTTTCCCAAAGCGTGCAAAACATTATGTTATATGGAATTTTTTTGCCATTTTCTTTTTACGGTTTTATTGAAAATCAAAGGATGTGCCTTGTTTTAAGAAGTTTTGTTTAATCTTACCTGAAAAATGTGCATTCTTTTGTGTCTTTTTTTAAGTTGGATGTACGTTTATATGCGCCTGTGTATGTATGCGAGTGTGTTGAAGTGCACGCGTGTGGAAATCACTTAACATATGCCCTGCTGTATAATAACATACAAATGGGGGTCAAGTCCAGTTTAAACATGGCTATTAAGTCTGAAACACCCTATCTGGTTTCCTTGAGCTGTGGTTTTTGAGAGCCAGAATTGCTGTGTGAATGTTGTTCCTGTTTTTTTTCTTGAATATGGATAGTCTTTGCTGATATCCAAAATGTGTCTGGCACAACTTTGAAATTTCTTAATTAAAAATAAAAAGGCAACATAACAATAGCTGTTGTAAAGAGAAACAAAATGTATAAGAAACTATTCCAAGATTCTAATGCTGGATATATACATACTATATATATAATATATATATATATATATATATACATTATATTTTTATTATTAAGTTACGGATACTGTATTGTATTCCCCTTTTGTCAAAGCTATGCATTTTCTGCTTCTAACCTTCTTTTCTTGCTGCACACATTCCACCAGTATTACTTATATTAATAGCTTTGTGATGGTGTAATTTTTTTTTTTTTTGCTGCTTCTTTTTTAAAAAGAAGTATCTGGCTATCAATATTTAAAGACAAAAACAGGGAAGAAGGCCCTGCTCGTCTCTAATACAGATACATGACATTTGCTGTTAAAGAATACTTTTATTGTTGAGGTCAGAAAGAAAAAAATCCCACCTCGGAGGCACTAACTTTGGGGGGGGAGGGGCGTGGGGTCTGGCTGCTTTGGTGCAGAGGGAGTGACGGGTTCGGGCTGCAGCTCAGTCCGGGCCAGCAGCCGCGTGGATGCATTTATGACCATCGGTGCTTAATAAAACGTCCAGATTATCTTGGCCCGCTCAACTCGTGTTTTGGCTCCAGCCGGAGGGGAGGAAAAGCTTCCGCTGTGTGGTGGGAAAGGGCTGCTGGGTGCCAGCTGGAGCCACTGTGAAAGCTGCACATCTTGAGGTAACCAAAACGTGCGACAATCCGTGAAGTCGACTCTTCTACATCTCCCACTTTTTACACAGTACTGAACAAGGATATTTGCACAGAGAAAAACATAAAACAAAAACAAACCGCTTCCAATTATTTGTGTCACTACAAATCTCCCACCGTAATTCAGAGTTTTTGCTTTTTTTGGCAATGCAGTGGCGGCCAAATGCAGCTAAGGGAGGCCTTTCCTCCCCGCCAAAGAAAGTGGTCAGTGCCCAGCTTGTGGGCAGTTGTTGCCCTGTCATTGTCCCCTCGATTCCTACCTCTAAACATTGTCTCAGCATTTCTGAAGTTGGACGCAAAGACCATTTGAGCTTCGTGATTAAAAGAGCAACCTAAGAAGCAGCATTCTGGGAGATAAGAATGCCACACATGATCCATGTGAAACTGAACAGGTAGGTCACAGATGGCAGTTTAGCCGGCCACAGGTGATGCCACGTAAGCCC